ATCGTCGCGGCAATCACCACAATGGTGGCACTGAGACGTCGGCTCCCGACCTATGCGACACAGGTACTTCCCGAAACACCCGTGTCCGGTAAGCACCTGCGTCAGCCGGAAGCTGAGGGCGCCGTGGCTCCTATTGAGCCACTCCTCTAGAACGGGCCTTACCGCCTCTATAGCGGCGTGCCCCGCCGTGGGTTGCGCTAAGCGCGTCTGCCACTCCGCCATTAAGGTCTGGCGGAGTTCTGCCCTGCGTGCCTCAACCTGTCGAGGCACCAGGCGCTCGCCCCGCTCGATTGCCTCCGCGCGCCACCAATAGAGCGACGCGAGGAGTTTTGCGTCGAGACCACCCTGTGGCTTACTCGTCTACACTTGACTCGTAACATTGCCTACAATGATTTTTTAAAGATGACAACTACTCATAAGTAACAATATTATAGTTTTTAATTACAAAAAAGTAAATGTATTTGATTATTTTCCTTTATACTGTGGACAAGCTTTTATTACCTTTATTATAAACTTCTCAGTTTGGGTCACTAACCATCCTTTCCTTAACTAAAATACTTAGGAACTCGACTTCAACGAAATTTCATACCACATAAAATATTTCACAGCCCTACTAACTTAAAAAAGAATTCAATACTCAAAATGCCACAACATTCGGTTGAACTTTCAACTGAGATTTAGACCACATTTTCAATATTGAATCTTTATACACTTAAACCAACAACGTAGTCGAAAGAAAAAAGTATAAACCAAGTACAATTTGAAAATTATGACGAATAAAACTGCATGTACTTGAGTAGTAAAAGTTTCCTTGCAATAGACTTCAACGCGCGCTCTACTTTCACGTCGAAAGTTAGGGAAAATATCGAACCACTTTAAAACAACATTTCAGTATGAAAATTGTATTGTAGTGGTGTTTAAAATTAACTTATTAGATAAGATACACATTTTCTTGAAGTAGATGTACTGGATTTTATTAAAATAAGAAATATAATTTGGTTGAATAGTGTTTGTAGCTGTCGCAACCACAACACCAGAGTAAACAAATAGCCTGCTATACTGTTATATATCCGCCTGTCTGAAGCGATACGACCACCTCGCAGAATCTGAATAAAACAACGCTCCCATTAAATTGCGTCATGTGAGTAAGCTACCGGAGGTCTAACCCTATACCATGCCCAATCTCGAAATCCTCTAATGCCCGGTTCCTATAATTGAGAAACGATCCGTTTTAGTTACGAATAGTAGTTTTATATACGACTCGTAAGCTAAAACCGTTCCTATAACAAACGTCTCGTCGTGCAACTTACTGACGGTTTGCAACTAACGGATATCGGTAAGCGAATTGTATGGAGATCTATGGTGTCTGTGGTTTTCCTATAAATATTTTAACCGTCAGTAGACGGTCAAGATAACTATTCGTAATGTCATTTGGTCGTAATGCGTATACAACGACGATTCGTTAAATATAGGAACCGGGCATAAATCAATAACAATCCTTGAAAGGCCGGCAACGTGACAGTAAGTAAAAGTAACCCGACGTCAATTAATTACCATCAACTTGATCCATCTTCTTATTTATTAACCAATCCCATAAAAATCAAATTTGATAATTCAATTTCACATGTATACTCCAATGCCAATCACACACAAAGATTTTTCTATTCTCTCCATCAACTATAACTTGGCTACTATTCAGTTCATACCATAGACGCGGTAGTATAACAATACATGAACAACATGGTACACCGAAACCTAATACAACCTTTTTCAAAAACGGAATATCAAATTATTCAAGCAACAGGTTGTATGAACCTTCCTTTTTCTATTCCAAAGGTTGTATCCACGTGCCAAGGTACAAAGATTGGTATCGCGTGTAATTAGAGACAGGTGCCGATTTTGAACCCTCTTTCAACCCTCCGTAGAGGGGGTGAGGTTACGTCGGGGGTGAAACAGCTGATGTCCGGATATTTTTGTTTTTTTAATCCCCTTTGTAATGAGTGCTACTTTTGGTATTTGTAATTCAGTTGATATTGTAGTTCTAAAATTGTTATAATTATTAGCGGAGAGTGTGGTGGATTAGTTTTGAATTTGTCGTATTGGTTTAGCTTATATATATTTGCTTTTATAAGAAAAACGAAATTTGTGGAGTCATGATTGGATTTTTTTTTACAAGTACATACAAATACTACCTTTATGTTTACAAAGAGTACTTGCTTCGGCAGTAGGTACATATAGCTCTTTGCCATATACGCTAACTTTTCATCCGTTATCTAGCTTCTTGTAATAAATCCCTGTCGTGTATGCAGCATGATTTCAGACTTTATGTTTTTCTGAAAATTCCTTGATCAGAGAAATCTCAAAACACACTTTACTCAAACCTGGAATCGATTGCTCGACAGTCTCTTTCGCATAGACTAATAGGTCGTGAGTATAGGCTCGACTAGCTTCAAATCTTGGGATTGGATCACGGCTGTGCTTTAATTATTAAGAAATATTTTCTTGAAATTCGTATTTAATTAAAGCATTGTAACAGGTTTTTGGCAAAAGAATTTGCAAACTCAGGTTTATTGTAAAAGTCCTAAATCTAAAGGTCATAAAACTAGCTTCTAACTACAAACCTCCGCAAAATATCTCAAAAAACAACACATTTTCCTAAAAGAAAGAAAACAGAAATAACGAAGGCCTGTTAATTAAAATTACGTGATTAACTAAGAATTGAGATAACCCATTCCATTTAACTAAAACTCCGATATTGCACCATCATTAGTAATTAATCTTCAAGTTTTGTAGAACAAAAAGTGTACGAGACAGGTGGAAATGTTGTTGGCTCTTTCTAACATAAAGTAGTCTATATGCTGCTATCTCTTTCTCCGAAAGACGGTGCTGATGGACGAACTGTAACGGACGATTGTCGTAACTGACTTTTGTTTAGCTGTGGCTCTCAAAGTTTTGGTGAAAATTTTAATTGAAATCTTTTTTATGATATAATTTTTTAACTTCTTTTTTACTTCAGTCATGATCATTTTTAACATGTAAGACCAGAGACATTCATAGCTGAACATAGGCATCTTGAAATGGCTTTCAGAAAGACCGGCTAAAAGGAGCTCCCTGCTATCCTTCTTCTTCCTTCTTCTAGTCAGTCAACTTAACAGTCAGTTTTGGCCGTAACAGGCCTTGACAAACTTGGTTTAGAAAAGAAGAAAGAAGAGAAAGGTTTCTCCACCCTACTCCCGTTTCTATCAGTTATAAGCTACGTTATCATGTAATAATCAAATCTATAATATTTCAAATTTCTCGCTAATTAAAAAGTATGAAACTCTGGGGACCTTGAATGAATGCGTAGGTATTCAAAACTAAACAAATTAATAAAAAATCTAAGAAATAATAAAAATTAATGAGACTTCCTCTCCTTCTCCTCGCGTCGGTTTCCTCAGTGCTGGGGGTCGTGACCACCTCGTTGAAGCAGTGTACTGTGTATTACTCTCCGCCATCTATTTCTATCTGCCGCCGAGTGGAGAGCATCGTGGACTGTAGAGTTGAGAGTGGTGCGAATCTGCTCCGTCCAACGTATCGGACTTCTGCCTCTAGGTCTCTTTCCTTCCACCTTACCAGTGATGAGTGATGACTGATCACTGGTAAGGAGACTTCCTCTACATTGTATATAAAAATGCAATTCACATATTCTTGTTCAGGCTATCTAAAAAAGTTTGTAAAAAACACATTGAGTACTGCTGACTCCTAACAAAGAGGTGCGCCGGCGCACGCGCGGTAGTTTTACTAACTCCATCTGAACATTAAGTAGAACACCAGTTTTTATTCGAGATTCTGAGAAACAACATAATAATAATGTACAGCTACTGTCAAAAATATGTGGACTATCTTTACAATAGTATGTAAAATAGATATTTAAATAAACTATGAAATAATATCAACCTTTTATCTTCCAAACGGTAAGGTGGATTTGCACTACTAAAATTATATTTTCGACAATTATAAACCTTCTAGTTAGCCAGGAGCTTCATCCATAGGGTAAAAAGTAACTCTAGCCAGAACCGCTGATGAAACGGGTTTGTCAGTAGAAGTCTGACACTTTCTCTAGCCCCATCCACAGCAGGAGAAGTCATTCGATGATTTTGCCCGCTCAATGTGCTGATTCAAAGGATATCTCTGTGCGAAATTCTGATTCATACAAACTTTTTTTTACAAACTTCTAAGTTTGTAATCGCCAATCCGCCTTATATGGGCGTGTTGACTAATGCTTAAACCTTCTTCGTGTCAGAAGAGACTTTGCTAAGCAACAGGCACTTATAGGCTGATGACGATAATCGTGTTACACTGTTTTAAGAGTGTAACTTAATAATAAAACAAAAAAAAAATGTGATACTGATTATATATTATAGTGTAACCATAGCATTTCTTGCTCATTCCTCTCCATCGAATCATCGTCATCATCATCGAAGTAAATGGCTTTTCAAGGAGAACTGATCGACAGACTGATAGCTAGGAGGGAAGGATATTTAGGGACTGGGGAGGGATTGGGAAAGGGGAAGGATTGGGCTTCCGGTAACCTCACTCACACAGCGAAACACAACGCTCTGGTTGTTTCACGCCGATTTTCTGTAAGGCCGTGATATCGCTCCGGTCGAGCTGACCCATTCGTGCCGAAGCATGGCTCTCCTATGCTTAAAAGTCTACAAATAATTTTGCACGAGACTGTACACACGCAAAACGGAACTTCATTGGATACCAGTTTGGAGTAGTTTAACGAAACTTTTTAAACGTAACACAGTCAGTTTTTATTCTAGTCTTTTGTTTGAAAATCTATCTATACCTATATAATGGTCTACAAAAAAATACAAGGCTTTTAGTACGACGTGAATAATTAACTTGTTTTGGACTCAGTTTTCGTGTACCAACGTTCAGCATTTTTACAGCTTTGTAGTTTTTGCTTTAGCCATTTTTCTGTCTATAACCCTGATGGTAAGCACTCGCCATCTATGACACCAACCACACCTGAGGAGACACAAGTGCGTTGCTGCCTTTTAAGAGTAAGTGGTTTAAGGGTTAAGGGGAAGATAACGTAGTATTTGCCCTGTTATAGAGTATAAGTCTAATGGCAAACTTCAAGCACAATTTTCGTCTCGAAAGTAAACTTTAGTGGAAATAAAAAAGCCTGATAATACTGATCAAGTCCAGGAGTCGGGTTTTGCGCATACAAACGAAATAATGGCCCCGGTGTGGAGCAGGAGAAGAATCGGGGCGGTTATTGGTCAGTAAAAGTCTGACACAACAGCTCGCCTTACACCGAGAGAAGTCAATTAATGATTTACCACCCCCGAAAGAAAAAAGACTTGGGAGTTGAACTCAAGACCCATCTCCACTACCATCACCACTAACAGCTGGTGGCAGTTTGGACGATTCTGATGCTCAAATAAAAACCCTTTCCCATAAGACCAATGTGGAAATCTCAAACAAAATTTTACTTCTCTATGTGAAATGATCAATATACTGTTGCGATTTGTATGACGAAATATATTTGTTTTAGAGATTTCGATATTGGTCCGATGGAACAAGTTGTTGTAATTGAGCAACACCAACATTGGCTCCTTGAATGCCTTGATACGAGGTGTCTAGTACAGAACGTGGGCCTACCCCAATATTTTTATAACTTAACACCACTTTTTTATGTAATAAATAGGTCGGCAAACGATCAGACGGATTACCTGATGGTAAGCAATCAGCGACGCCCATGGACACCCGCAACGGAGGAGTTACGAGTGCGTTGCCGAGCTTTTAGGGATTAGGGATTTGGTGATTTAGGAACTGGGGAGGGATTAGGGAAGGGGAAGGTTTGGGCCTCCGGTAACCTCACTCACACGACGAAACACAACGCTGTGGTTGTTTCACGCCGGTTTTCTGTGAGGCCGTGGTATCACTCCGGTCGAGCCGACCCATTCGTGCCGAAGCATGGCTCTCCCACATGGCATGGCGCTTTTTATAATCAGAGTTTAGAATAGATTTATTTTATATTCAAAGTCAAATCAATTAGTCAATTAGACCACTATGACATGGCACTTGATCTTACAACAAAAATTTCAAGATGAAAAATATCAGTTTGTCGGTTAAACCTATAGTGAAGCTCTCGTTCCAACGTGTGGATTCCGATTGTGAAGAACGAATAAGAAACTCTATAGTTACTCTTTTGTCAAAATCAGTTTTGTCTTAGTGTACAACAGTTATACCACGATCCTTTGTACTTTAATTATGGAAGAGCTATGCTTCGACACTAAGGGGTCGGCTCGACCGTGACAACATGCTCATATAGAATACTAGCTTTACACTCTTGTGACCACGACACAAGAATTATACGTATCAGTCCTAAGGTAAACAGTAGCTCCTGACTTTTTTACTTGGACTGACCGACAGACTGACACTATATCTTCAAAATTTTGTTTGACGTTCAAAAGTGCCTGTAAGGGTCTAATTGGAATAAATGATTTTTGACTTTTTGACTTTTTAGTTAGTAAGAGTCTGACACTCCCTCTCTTCTCACCCTGTGCAAAAAGAAGTTGTTTGAAGACTTTCCTTCTACACAAAAAGGACTTCATATTTAACAGTAACATCCATTAACATCCATGAGAACTAACTGAAGCTTGTTACAATAAAGTAATAATAAAAAAAGTGGGGGGACAGGTCGGTAAAGTGAACTTTTTACTTTTTCGTTCAAAAGTGGACAGTGAGGGGAAGACGCGCCACAATTATTGTACTTCCGCCCCAGGAGCGTAGGGATGGGACACGGATTGTCTTGCAATTTTATTATCTTTATCGATAATTTTGTTTCGATTTTGGTATCCTAACATAAACCTCTACCTACATGCTAATAAGTAACTAATATATTACTGATGAATGAAAATACTAAATGGAAAAAGGAAGTTTTATGTGAATAATGATATCTACTTATATTAAATAGTGCGGTAGCGTTGTACACATGCAAAGCCGGGGCTATAAGTAAATTATTATTTCAATGAAGACTAGACTTAGACCCCCCCCCACATTATTATGAATGAAGAATATAATAAAAAAGGACATCTAAATATTTTATTCAAATTTTAAAATTAACGTAAGCAGAAAAAAAATACCAACGGAATTAATGTGCGTTATGAATTATAAATTAAAATTTATAATCACTTCGTAGGTAACCGAAAAACTGAAGGTTAGTTTATTTGAAAGAATTAAATTAATTATTTTGTATTATTTTATAAGGTATGTTGTTACTAAGAAAAGTCACAAGACACCAGATTTAATCTAGAATATATTATATTAATCTAAATCGTTTATAAGCATTTTTGTCTTAAATATTTTTATGTGACATTGCATTACGGTGTCTTTTCTAGCCCTGTGAAGAGTGTGTGAGAGAGAGAGAGAGAGAGAGAGAGAGAGATAGAGAGAGAAAGAGTCAGACTCTTACTGACTAAGAACTATCTCATTTATTATCCTGGTCTAAACCGGGGTCACCGTACATTATTACTTGCACCGTCAACCCCACCTGATGGTAATCATTGGATGATCAGATTAACTTATAGCCTTTAAAATCAACTATCAATACCTTAACACAATCGTATCTAGTTCTTCCATTCTTCTTCTTATAGTCTCTCACGTCTGAGGATCTTGGTCAGTATCTGGAGCAGATGATCCGCCTCCACCGGTTTCTATCTAGCGCATCTCTGACTACCGCTACGAATTCAATTGATCGATCCATCTGGTCGGTGAACGACCACGTTTCGGTGTTTCCATTGACAATTAATCTTTCCAGACTTTCATCTCCTCTCTGGGCACTGTGTGGCCGAAATAGGATAGAATGCGTATTTGGCATATGGTTGACAACCTTCTACATATATCGGTATAATTAAGTCCCGTAATCGTGACCAATACATGGAAATAAAGTCTCCTGCATTGTGATATCTACTCGTTAATATAAAAAAGCACCAAGACATGATACAAAACTGTCGTGGTGGCCCGGAGGTTAAGGAGCCCGCTTCTCATGCACGAGGGTGTGGGTTCGAAACCTGGTAAGTACCAATGTGACTTTTTCCGAGTTATATGTACTTTCTATGATTATTTAGACACCACTGACATACGGTGAAGGTAAACATCGTGAGGAAACCGGGACTTATAATTTCTAATTATAAGTTTGAAATCGTCAACCCGCATTGAGCAAGCGTGGTGATGAATGCTTTAACCTTCTCCGTATGAGACGAGGTCTTTGCTCAGCAGTGGGCACTTATAGGCTGATGATGATGATGATGACCAAGACATGAACCTATAAGTATTATATGCACATAGAACCGAAAATCTTATAATTATATTCCATACACATTAGTGTTATCAGAAACATCAACAAAATTTAACTAGGATAAAATTTTTACGTAAGAATTACGTTGAATATGAATAGTGATGCAACTGTGTTATCGATAGTGGAACATCACTAGCCCAACCCCACAGCGCATGCGCTGAAGCGAGACGAAGAAAGTACAACTGTCGAGCCGCGTAACGGCTAGTAGCAAACGGAATTATAAGTTACAAAGCCCTTTCTGGGGTAAGCAGAGGTATATCGGGTAAAGGTAAACCTAACTATAAAGTACTGGTTGACATTTTAATAGGTTTTTTTTTCTAAAGTTTAATAACTTTAGAAAAGAACTAGGTACTTAGGTAATGTGTGTAAGTTTTGTTGTTAGTGCAGTTTCTAATAGGTACAAGGTTTACGTTAGATAGAAATATACATTGTAATATAGCCTATGTTTAATTATAATCCATTAGAATCCAACGAAAAAACAATTAAATTTGACTAACTAGTTCAGTAGTTTAACTTTAATGTCAAAAACGATACTTTTCTATGAATTTTACTTGAAATTCCAACATATGACGTCATAGCCATAAAAAATAATATGAAACATATCGTCGAATCAATAAATGGAAGTTATGATAAAATTTTAATATAATTTAAAATTTTACTTTAGAAAAAGGAAGCCACCAACAGGCCATAGCATATTCAAATAGACAATGCCCAAAAAAGTCTCGACCAAAAACATTAATTTCTACTTAAAAAACCTCTTTTACAACTACAAAAGCAGAGGGAAATATTAACAATAAAAAAAACTAAGGATTATTACACTAAGGAAGAACAACTTAATTACATTATTTATGTTTTTATATTAATATACTTACTTAATAAAATTCAATGACGTATTTAAAATCTAATTAAGATACAAAAAATATTAATTCGTTAACTCATTAATTTTTCGGAACATTACTTTGTTAGAAGTAGGTAGGTACCTACGTCAAAATTCAAAAATATAATTATGTTAATTATTTTTAGACTTCAAATCTCACTCATGTGATTACAATCTTACCTAATAATTTAATTTCAAATTGTAGCTCAAAATATTAAGATTTTTAGCTCACTTTTATAAAATAAATATGTTTTTAATTAAGTAAAACTTTATATAAATATATCTTTATTTTATAAAAAGGGTTTTTTCCAAACAGAAGATTTCAGCCCCATTATTGTATACAAAATTCAGTATGTACTTACTTATCAATTAATTAAAACTTCTTATTGATTTCATTCAGAGTTGTCCTGAATAAGCAAAATTGAAAATATTTCACCAACTTCAAGTAACTTGGTAAAATACCTTCAATTTGGTCTCTTCTTTCTCCGTCGTCAGATAAGTGTGGGAGAGCCATGCTTCGGCACGAATGGGTCGGCTCGACCGGAGTGATACCACGGCCTCACAGAATACTGGCGTGAAACAACCACAGCGTTGTGTTTCGCCGCGTGCATAAGGTTACTGGAAGCCCAAACCTTCTCTCATTCCTAAATCTCCAAATCCTTAATCCCCCAAAGATCGGCAACGCACTCGTAACACCTTTGTTATTGCGGGTGTCCATGGGTGGCGCTGATTGCTTACCATCAGGTAATCCGTCAGCTCGTTTGCCGACCTATCACATAAAAATAAAACAGGATACTCCTAGAAGTATCCATCTAGTAATCACACACTGACACTTGCCAGGTACGAAATCATGAAATCCCTTATGTGTTGATGGTAGCCACCAGGGAGGTTTGAGTGAGGCCCCCACACTCCCTAATCTTTTTCCCCAAGAGCTAGGCGCCCTTTGAAGGTTTCCCCCGGGCTACAAAATAGGTCCGAAGTCTCTTCCTGATGTGCGACACAACAACCTAATTAGTTCATAACTTACCAAGTATCCTTATATCCTTATACTTAATATAATGGTTTAGCAAAGAAATTATTTTACCATGATAGTTAAATAAAGTATTAACTTTGTTTCTTTTTCGGTATAGAGTTCAGATGACAGTTTTGTTAAGTGTCGGCAAACGGTCATACGGATCACCTGGAACGTTCTCGGAAACGATCACACAGACAGTAAGCAGTCAACGCCGACCATCCACCAGCTGCAACGCTAAAAGAGAAGCAAGTGCCTTTTAGAAGTAAGGATTTCTTATTATCATCACGACCAATACTGATGGAGGAAGCTTCGATGATTTGGTGGGTTATCACAAATATAATTAAATAATTACGATTTATAATAATAATATCTAGATCCTAAACGTTTTGGAGGTATGATTTCTGAGATATTAAGTTTAATAAAATAAATATTGCAAAAATATAAAATTTAGTTTAATCATAGCAAGTTAATAAAGAAAGAAAAATTAATACCCAAAAGAAATCATAGATATTTTCAACCACTTAACTCACGAATATTTAAAAAGGTTATTTTATAACATAAAAAAGAAACAGTGAACAACCACAATCATTAATTAACCTTCTAACAAGTACAATGCAATGCAATATCCAAAAGCTAATTATATTTAAAAACTCTTAACAAAATCTGAGCAATAAAAAGCAATCATTTCCAGAGATTACAACGACGCGACGTACCTACATACATACGTATCAACAGTCACACTGTAGGTATGTTCAACGGAACCAGTAATGTACCAACTATAATTACATACTTCATGATAAAGCAAGACAGCTACACAAACCACTAAAGAGAAAAAGAGACAACAACAGTCATCTGTTATGTGTCGTAAACTTGCGCACGCGCCGGGTTTTTATTTCACTCACACACGCTCACACACTCACACATCGCGTTTGTATGTGTGCGTCCATGTATGATAACGGAAACTTCTAGTGTTTCTGATTTATATACGTCTTGACAATTTATATGGAGGAGGGTTTTAAATATCTAATTGCACGATGGAAGCCATTTTTAAATTGCTTTGAGATTTTAAAAGTCATTTATACGAAATTGTGTACAGTGATTTGTCGGTGAGTCAATTTAGTTAGGTGATGAGGAGTTTTGATGGTCGTGGTGGCCCGGAGGTTAAGGTGACCGCTTCTCATGTATGATGGCGCCAGGAAAGCATCAATGTGACTTTTTCGGAGTTATATGTAGGTACCTACTCATCAAATCATCGTGAGGAAACCTGGACTTATAATTTCTAATTATAAGTTTGAAATCACAAATCCACCTTAAGCAAGCGTGGTGAAGCACTTCTCCGTGTGAGCCTTTGCTCGGCAGTGGGCACTTATAGGCTGAAGGTGTGGAGTTTTGAACATAGACCATTATTGAGGGATCGCTCTTATAAAATAGGAGATTAGAACAGAAATTTGGATTAGAATTCCCTTTTAAGGTAACCTAAACTAACAGAGTAACTAGTTTAAAGAAAAAACATCATAAATTTCCGAACTTTACAGATCTATTTGAAGTTATAACCAATTTTAACAACAGCGACAACATCCTTTCGCTAAAGATGAGGCGTATGCGTGGCAGCTCAAATGCTATCCTGAAGGAAATGTCCAAGAAGTAGTACTCACCTATGGTTATAAGATGGATATCCTCCTCGCGAGTGGTAATTGGAGTCATATTTGCAACATTCCTACCTAACTTATTTAAATTTAATAAAATAAAATCATTTTATTTTGTTTTATTATCTTTAAGTTTCACATGATTTTTATAGTTGTGCATATAATCTAAAATAAAATAACCACAGCGTTGTGCTTTACCATGTGTTATCGGTCTCCCCACCCCTCCCCAGTCCTTAAATATCCGAAACCCAAATAGGTGGCAACGCACTCGTAACTCTTTGGTGTTGCGGGTGTCCATGGGCGGCGCCGATTGCTTCCTATTAGGTAATCTTTACTCGCTCGTTTGCCGACCAATAGCAAATAATAAAAATAAAATTCTGCATACATAAGTATTATGTAGATGATCGAAAAAAATGTTCTGTTCAGGGTTCGAAGCTACGGCACTTAATGACAAACACCAGACACGAATTGGTGCCCATTAAATTATTTTAATTAGAAAGTGAAGTCCTGTTTTTATAAGAGCATCATTCTATTACAAGGTAACGTGTTAACATGTAACAAACTCGTATTTAACTTTCAATGTATGAATGTATTCAAAAGTCAAAAAAGTCAAAAATCATTTATTCCAATTAGACCTTTACAGGCACTTTTGAACGTCAAACAAAAATTTTGAAGATATAGTGTCAGTTGTGTGTAGTCGGTCAGTCCTCTTAGTGAAGCTATTTGCTTGTTCCAAAGTGTAGATTCCGATGGAGAAGAACGAGCAAGAAACTCCATGGTTACTCTTTTTAAATCAGTTTCACATACAGATTCCTTTTACAAACAGTTGGTTCACTTATGTGAGAACAGTGTAACACTAATATTTATTCAAATATAAAAATAAAGTAACCTTAAGGACAATAGACAGTCTGGAGCTGATCAGTCCCAACTGACGGCGCCCGTTCACGAACATGACACTATTATTATTATATTTTATTGAAATACATAAATAAATAAGAAGTACGTACCTATTTAGAAATGTATTTATTTGTTCTTCTAGTAAACTAAATTTTTCAGCAAATATCTTTAAACGATTGAACTGAAATGTTGTCAACGTTTGTTTAGTTGGCAAGAAAATAAATATTAAGTTGTGCATCTTTACTAAACAGAAACTTTACATCTATAAAAACGCCTTTAAGATGCTTAGTGGTCCCAGGGAACACTAAACCAACAAGTAACTAGTGAGTTTTGTTTTCGAAGCCATATTTATTTCAAACTAATATAGGTCTTACTTATGTCTATACTTATATCCAAACAAAAAATTTCAATATAAAAAGTTAAAAAAAATGACGGTCTAAATGGTCTGTTCTCTAGTGAAGCCACTTGCCTGTTTCAAAGTATTTAAATTCCTATGGAGAAGAATGAGTAAGAAACTCCATGGTTACTCTTGAAGAAGCCGTTTTAATAATATTTTCTTGTTGTTCTTGGATATTTTTCTTTGCACTTAAAGAAATGGTCGTTATTCCCGAGTCACTCCTTACACACTTTAGCCAGGTGGTCGTAATTATGCGCAGTACGAAGGGTTGAGCTGAGGGGTAACAGGTTCGATACGGTTCAAGTAACGTTGGCAACCTGTTACTATTATTTACTTGATGTTTTATAAGGATAGTTGAGAAATTTTATTAACGAAGAAGTTAAAAAATGGCTTCGAAAACTGTACAAATATAATAATATATCTTCTTAGAGGTTCTTTTAGTACCTAAAATATTATACAGAGAAAATATTATATATCTACACTAACATTATAAAGAGGTAAAATTTGTAAGTTTGTATGTAGGGGGTAATCTTTGGAACCGCTGGTCAGATTTCCAAATTCTTTTACTGATAGATAGCTACAATATTCCTGAGTGCTATACTAAGGGTATAAAACATCACGCTAAGATTAAATGGAGCCAAGCAGCGGGTGAAACCGCGCTAGAATAGCTAGTGTTAATATTTTAGGTACTCAAGCTAACTGCTGATTTTGAAAAGTCGAGGAGAAATGTTTTTTGTTGGAGGTGATAAATAAATAGTTAGAGTAAGTCGAAGAACCGATGACATTTGGGGTAAAGGAACCTACTAAACATGTTCTAGAGTGGAGGACACGTCTAGGCAAACGTAGTACCGATGACGGTAGTTGGATGAAAAGATCCGAACATAGAGCTCAGTGGCGTGCAATTTTGGAGGTCTATGTCCAGCAGTGGATCAAAACAGGCTGATGATGATGATGATGATGATGATGATGATAAATATATAAATCTCGCCTGGTGGTAAGCTATGATGCGACCTACGATGGAGCACGCCTTCTCATAAGCAATTTATTCACTCGGGCCTTGAAGACACCCAGGTTATAGGAAAAATAACTTACTAATATAACTTACAAGAAGTATACCAAAAGCCTTTGATAATGTCTAGTTCTTAAGTCTAGAATCTAGTCTAGGGCATAAGTGAACAACCTAAGAATCACTTGAGACTAGGATTTTGTAGGCGTGCCCCATAATCGCTTACTGTGTATTAGGCATTGTATATCAATACTTCAATACTAATATTATAAAGAGGTAAAATTTGTAAGTTTGTATGTAGGGGGTAATCTCTGAAACCGCTGGTCGGATTTCCAAAATTCTTTCACTGATAGATAGCTATAATATTTCCAAGTCCTATAAGCTATAAAACATCATGCTACAATCTGTAGGAGCTGAACAGCGGGTGAAACCGCGCGAGAGTAGCTAGTGATCAATAATTTTGTTAATTATTTTAAGTGTGAGAGAGCCATGCTTCGGAACGAATGGGCTGGCTCGATTGGAGTGATACAACAGCCTCATATGAAATAAGCTTCTTTTTTGAGAGGGTTAATTTTTTTATTTGACTTTTATCACCCTGATTGTGGTGAAAGGCATCAGAATCTTACTGGTCCTGGGTATGACGAGGTAGCGTCAAAATTTTAATGACTAAAAACACTCCTATACCCTCTTCTGCTCCAGGCCGGGACAATATGCGCTCTCACACCTGCAATCCCTGTAGTCAAAGTCAAAAGTCAAAAATTATTTATTCCAATTAGACCTTTACAGGTACTTTTGAACGTCAAACAAAATAAAAAAAAATAGTGCCAGTCTGTCGGTCAGTCCTCTTAGTGAAGCTATTTGCTCGTTTCAAAGTGTAGATTCCGATGGAGAAGAACGAGCGAAAAACTCCATGGTACTCGTTTTAAATCAGTTTCACATACTCCTTTTACAAACAGTTGGTTCAATTATGTGAGAACAGTGTAACACTATTATTTATTTAAATATAAAAATAAAGTATATATACAGTTTGAAGTGTCTGATAAGCGTTTCAAATGAAAGACCAAAAACAAAAAAGGAAAACCATACTCTATCTCGCTCTAACATAAGGTTACCAAAGACAAAAGGTTCTTGAACTGCTTTTCTATCTAAATAATCTTCTCCAATCTAGTTTCTTTTCTAGGAACCAAGTAAAGCTATATCAGAAGGTTAATCTCTCACCATCAGGTGTGTGACCCGCACGTGCCACGTTTATTTATCAATTACGGCTGGGAGATTTGAACTTCTCGCTCTGTCAGCCAACTGTGGCCAGACGGAACGGATGCCCGCTATGTATAGCCACAGGGGAACGTCGACTATGATTTTGTGTACACTAACTAGCATGAGACATACTAAATTTATTGCAAACGTTGAAAATTATAAAGAGTCTCGTTGCGATTTGAAACTGGTAGAGCTTTTCTTCCGCCCGCTTCTCATGCATGATGGGGTCGGTTCGAAACCTGACAAGAGAGTACCAATGTGACTTTTTCCGAGTCTTATGTAGATACTTTCTAATTTAATGCTGCTGCCTGCTCCTGCCCTAGGCCGAGAGAAGGGTGGCTGATTGTCTAACATTCTCCTTGGTCCGTCTGAGAAGAGGCCTTTGCTCAGCAGTGGGCACTTATGATGATGTATGATGTAGACCTTGTCCGAGCTAATTCACGTGAGTACATAGTAATTTTCAATAAATATAGACTATATTTTAGATTTGTTTACTTTAGAATAAATATGTTTACATAATTTTTGTCTAATATCCAATTGTTATTAATTTTAAATCGCCATTTGGCCTTGAGCTGATCAATTGTGGCAATTAATTTTCATTCCTTCTCCACGTAGAAGAAACTTTGTCTAATTTGCAAGCTGATGCAGTTAGTTCTATTAAAGTGGACTTAATTTCAGAAATTATGTTCTTACAATCAATCTTAAACGACGCAAAATGCTTAACAGATGAACAGAAAACATAGTGTGTCGCCAAAAATAGATTATTGAAAAAAGAAAACAAAATAGAAAGTATACCTAATATCAGATACTGCAAAACATAACAATTACCATTGCACTAGCAATAAGTTATTACTTCTCCGACTCGTACGTACAATAAGAGTCAGATACTGACTCTCGCTTCAATCAGGGAGAGATGAGTCATTCGATGATATCTCCCCTCAAAAGCAAATCCACGACACATTCTGTTAGCAGACTTTATATGTCAGACTTTTATTGACTCAGTTTTGTAGAGAAATCTGAATAACTTTTGCCCGGAGTGTGGTGGCAGCCAGAGGTTAAGGCGCTCGATCTTCATGCATGTAGATGCGGAATAAAAACCTGGCAATTACCAATGTGACTTTTTCCGAGAGACTTATATGTACTTTCTATGATTGTTTAGACACTACTGACTTATAATTTATAATAATAAGTTTGAAATCGCTAATCCGCTTTGAGTTAGCGTGGTGGTGATTAGGTAATACTCAAACCTTCTCCGTGTGAGAAGAGGCCCTTGCTCAGCAGTGGCTGATGTGATTAGATATTCTGTATTGTAATGCTGTTGCCTGTTGTTAATAATACATTTAGATTTTTTCGAAGACACGCGAATACCACGATTTATTTTTAGTACGCGAGTTTTGTTGACACTTAAGTACAAGTAAGAAATTCTACAAACGCGATAAGGTATC